TACATTCTGAAAAATAGCAATGGAACTTCCACTTCTGGGAGCCAAGATGGCAGAGTGAAAAGGTAGTCGCTCTAACCCTCCCCTAACAACCTCTGAAAACCCAGGAAATATCACCCTAGAAAAAAACCAAAAAACCCTGGAACAGCTGAACTAGAAGAAAGATGGGGAATAGCAGTGCAGCAGCCCAGCAAACAGGTCTCCCAGTGCCTCAGCAAAAATAAGGGAAGCAGCACTACAAAGGGCTCCAGGCAAATAAGTACCCTGCAGCATTCATCTGAAAGGAGATGAAGAAAACAAACTAGAGTTTTCCTGAAGTCCCAGCCTTGCTGATTCCAACCCAACAACTCCAACTGTCAACCAGGAGGAGATCCTTAAGTCCAGATGGTAGAGCAGGCAAACACCAACACCTGGACCTCCCAGTGCTTCAGTAAGGGAAAGGGCCCAGGTGGAAACCAGCTCAGAAAAACAACAGCTGCCTTGGCACTCTACCACAAAGGAATCTCCCAGTGCATTAGCAGAAATGACAGAGACAACACTGCAGGGGGCCCCAGGCAGATAAACACCCTGCAGCACCCATCTAAAAGGAGCTGAAGAAAGCTAAAGGAAAGGAAAAACAGGCAACCTAGAATTACCTGAAAGTTCCAGCCTTGCTGATTCCTGCCCAACAAGAGGTAAGCTGCCAAAACCCTGCAGCCTCCAATTGCCAACATAAGAGGACCAAGCACACAAAGCCAGTGACCAAGACCTAGGCTCCCAACACAAGAAGCTTGGGTCAGTGCCCTCTGTTCCCCAGCAGGAGAGCTCAATCTCTTTAAAGCCCAGGAAATAAAGAAACCATGAGTAAAAAGAAACGTACCACATATTCATATTATGAGAAGAGTAGAGATCAAGACAGAAATTCTGAAGAGGACAACATTGTCAACAAACCCACATCTGCAACATCAAAAGGGAATATGAACTGGTCTGAAGCCCAAAAAGCCTTCTTACAAGAGCTCAAGAAGGATTTTAAAAGTCTAATGCAAGAGGTAAAAGAGTCCTTAAAAAATGCAACTGGCCAATTGAAGAAGGAAGTACAAAAACTAACAGAAGAAAACAATCTGTTAAAAACTAGAATTGGACAAATGGAAAGTAATATCTCTATGAGAGAGCAAGAATCAGTTAAACAGAAACAAAAAAATGAAAAAATGGGTGAAAATTTAAGATACCTCATTGGTAAAACAACTGACCTGGAAAATCAATCTGGGAGAGACAATTTAAAAGTTATTGGACTACCTGAAAATCATGATGGAAAAAAAGAGATTGGACAGTATCTTTCAGGAAATCATAAAGGAAAACTGCCCGAAGTCCTAGAACCAGAAGGAAAATAACCATAGAAAGAATCCACCGATCACCACCTGAAAGAGATCCCAAATTGACAACACCCAGGAATATGATAGCAAAATTCCAAAATTACCTGATGAGAAAGAAGGTGCTGCAAGCAGCCAGAAAGAAACAATTTAAATATCATGGAACCACAGTCAGGATTACAGAGGACCTTGCAGCTTCTACATTAAAAGACGCAGGGTGGAACATGATATTCTGTAAGGCAAAGGAGCTTGGATGCAGCCAAGGATCAATACCCGCAAAAATGAGCATGATTTTTCAAGGGAGAGATGGATATTCAATGAAATAGGGACTTCCAAACCTTTCCTGATAAAAAGACCAGAGCTTGACCAAAAAAAATTTGATCTTCAAGTACAGGACTCAAGAAGGACTTAAAAAGGTAAATGGGACAGAAAGATACAAAATGTTGTTAATAAGGGCGGACTGTTTACAGGGAAGATGACACTTGCAACTCTTGAGAACCGTATTGTTATTATACCATGTTAAAGGAATATACATAAAGGGGGTGGATATTAGTTGACTTTGATGTAATGATAAAAAAAAATCTAATCAAGTGGGTTAAATGGATCCAAGTAAGTGGATTAGTCTGATCTTAGAAAATGTACTGAGAAAGGAGGAGGCAGACAAGTGTAAATTACCTTACAGGAAAAGACAGAAAATCCTATTACAGCAGAGGGAAAGAAGGGGTGAGCATTGTTTGAACCTTGCTCTCATCAAATTTGGCTCAAGAAGGGAATAACATAATCAGTTAGGTATGGAAATCTAACTTGCCCTATGGGCAGGAGGGAAAAGGAGAAAGAAAAGGGAGGGGGGTGGGGGTGAAGGGGAAGAGGGAGGAGGGGGATAATAGAAGGGAGGAGAGACTGAAGGAGGCAGTGGTCAAAAGTAAAGTACTGGTGAGGGGGGAAGGGAGAGAGGAGAAAGAAAAGCACAAACAGGGGAAAAGGATGGAGAAAAAGACACAGATAGTAATCATAACTGTGAAAGTTGAATCGCAATTTTTTTTTTCTCTTCTGTTGAGTTTTGTTTCCTCTTTCTGATGGTTTCCTATTGGTTTTAATTTTTACTTACAACTTCACTAATGTGAAAATATGTTTAATAGGAATGTAAATGTATAGCCTATATCAGATTGTGCACAGCTATGGGGAGGGTGGTGGGGAGGAAGGGGGAGAAAAATTTTAAACTCAAAAGCATGTGGAAGTGATTGTTGATAAATCAAAATAAATTAATAAAATATGCAAAAGAAAAAGAAAAAAAATTAGCAATGGAAAGCAATGGCAAACTTGAATAACTAGCCAGAGAGGGCCAGTTTGTCATTTTAAAAATAATTATGATAAGCAAGAGCTCCTTTAAGTCTGCATACAAATATTTTGAACAAGAGACCAAGTATACAGGACATTTATCAGCAAGGCTTGCAGTACTGAAGATACAAACAAACAAAAAGGAGGTGAGGATTCAGTGGTAATACTCTTTTTTTTAGAAACTTGTTACTGAATTGAACATATTTGGCTGTGTGTCTGTGTGTAAGTATAACTGAAGCTAGGCAAGTCCTTTAACCTCCTTAGATCTGTTTCCTCATCTATAAAATGAAGGGTTTGGACTAAGTAATCTCTGAGGTCCATTCCATCTCTGGATTTATAATTCCATAATCTTACAATCCTAAAATGCAGGTGTGATAGTATATATAAGGATGAATATTGATTGTATGAATTAATATTAAAGTAAAGGGACAGGTAAGAGTGAATCACAAAATGAGCTAGCCGAGCTTAAAAAGTTTCAGTGACTTATATTTAAAATAATGAATGCAAGAATATAATCCCATCCCACATGGTTAACTGAGTCAGCAAAGATGGGTCTGGTTTCCCAGCAGGTGTGCAACTCTTTTGAGAGACTGTCCAAATTGTGGCACCTCCCACAATAAATTCACAGCCAATGTGGTCCAAGACCCATCTGCTTTAAAGGTAACCAACACCCAATGCCCTCAGGCTCTTTTGGGTGTACCCTTTCTGGGCGTGTGCACACCACCAGTGTGAGGTGTTACTTAGCATAGGATAAAAATGAGCTTTTGTTTAGATACTTCTTTTCCAGAGCAGATGTAACCTGTTTAGGGGTGTCAGACAATAAGAAGCCTGAGTCAAAAAAACAGAAAACCAACCAACACCATCACCGAGCTCAAGCCTAGTCACTGGAGGGAAAAAGAAAGAAGCAAGATCATTCTCTTTTACAAAGGTTGACATGAAAATCAAAATCATCCAAAAATCTGAGCTCCAAACAAATTTCATGTAACCCCTTTTCCTTATCAATTGCTTATTTAATCAAAAACCTAGCTGGAATATCCCAAGGTGTGTCTTTGTTCATTTATCTGGAAACTTATGGGAAACCTTCCCACTCTGTAGTTCCTCATGGGAAAGGGGAGGAGTAATCCCCAGTGACCTGAAAAATCTTTCTGCCTAAAATGCTTTATCTTTTGATTCTCAAACCCAGCTCTAATTCTAAGACCCAGGTCTCCCCGCCCCCCCCATATAAGTTCTTTGCTGCTAACCACTACACTATTCTGGCAATTCTAGTTCTTAGAATTCTTAGAAGAACAAAAGGTATACCCAAGGGTTTAGAGAAAACAGACTTTTGCCCTTCCTAAAGGCCTCCAACAAGTCACTTAATCTCGGGGACACTCAGCTTTCTCACTTGTAAATGAGGTTCTCAATTCTCTGCCCAAACTGCTAAGAACCAGGTCTCCTAGCTTTCTTTTTCTTTCTCTCCCTCCCTCTTCCTCCCCCCTTGCCTAGCCCCAATACCAACAAATGATTTGATTATCTCCAAGACTGCCATGTGAACCCAAAAGTCCCTCATCTTCCCCTTTCCCCATTCAAGGGCACCAAAGCCTAACCCTACCCTAAATGCGCGCTGAACAATAAAATCCAAACAAAGGTAAAATTCTCATCTCAGCAGAGCATGTTTAAGAAAGCACTCAGGCAGCCTTGGGCAGCGAGTAGGCAAAGGAAGCAGTGCATTCCAGCTTTATCAGCTCCTGTTTCAAAGCCCTTCTCCCCATCCTGGAGGAGACTGGCCGGAGATCCCGCTTTCAATCCCCTTCCATCCCCCACCTCTCCAGCCTTGAACAACTCCCTCAGTGCAAGTTTCACCTTCTGACTTCCAGAGTCCTTTTCTCCCCGTGCCTCCTAGCGACCACCCAGTCTGACCTTTTCCCCCTGCAGCCGCTTCTGGCCCCCTTATCCTCTTACAGGTCCTGCAACATCTAGGGGCTTTCCAAAGATCTAGATAACCCAATTCGACTTCTGCCCTTTTCCCTTCCGAACCCTTCTTAGCGGCAGCCTCCAAACCCCACACTTCCCGCGTGGCGCCAAAACTAAAACGAAACAAAACCACGTGAAAAATAAAGGCACAGAAAAAGGCCAGTGGAGCCAGAGAGGGCGATTCCTCTTCACCCCCTCCCCACCCCGCCCCAAACAGTCTCTCATCACCTCTCCCGAGCGTCTCAAGCTAGGTTCTCTACCGCACTTCCCACTACTCCCACGGGTCAATCAGCACGCCCCCACCCCCCTACCCGCATCCCCAACTCGTAAGCCCCATGAAGGAAAGTCCCCATTCCCACTTACGGTGAGTTCGGATCCCCAACGCGACCTGGGGAGGGGAGGCGCCCCAAGGAGAGGGCCGGGGAAGTCTGAGTTTTCCTTCCCCAGAGGACTAGGAGTATAGGGCAGGGAGATGAGGGGGAGGGTATCTGGGCAGAGTCAAGTCCAAAGCAAGCTCATCTCAGCCGCCAGAGCAGAGTTTCCCCGGAGAAGCCGGGTGCCGAGCTGTGGACAGGCGGGGCGGGGAGCCAGTTGTAACATGTCAAGAAATCCTATCACACCAAAGCCAGCTCACGCAGCCAAAAGTTACTCCTGAGAACCTGTCTGAACTCAAAAAAAAAAAAAAAACCAGCCCTCTCCGAGGAGACAAAAGGCCTTTCTTTCTTTCCTGCCCCCCACCCCTACGCCCCCTGCTCCAGGCAATGTACACTACACTCACCTGCACTCCAGCCGAGAGACGGGGAGAGCAAGGAAGAAAGTTTGTTTCTCACCTGGAAAGAGGTTGGGACTAAACTGGGCAGGGCAATAGTGGCCTCTCCCTCTCAGCCCAGCCTGCTTCTAGCATTGCACAATGGAGGGCTTGTGGGAACAACTAGGGAGATAGGGAAGGTATGTGTCCAGTGTCTACCTTCAGAGTGAGGGGTCAGTATTAGCTGCTCAGTATAGATAAGAGAGATGCTATTCCAGGAAACTGCAAACATAGCCTGCCTAACTTTCGGGCTATTTCCATTTCCATAGACCAGGAAATGGAATCCTGAACTGATAGGTTTCTGTGCTTCTACAATTCTAAGATTTCAAATATGCCCTACACTATACAAGAGTTAATGATGTTTGAACCCTATTAAAGTATTTCCATCCCCCAAAAGAGCAAATTACTGAAAATAGAAAATACTGTGTCCATAACATGTGAAAACAAAAACAAAAACACACAGCCTCTAGGAATTCGTCTATCTTGACTTTTCCCAGTACCTTTCCATGGTTGCACTACCTGACAGTTTGGATTTTTCCATTTTTCCATTTCCATTTTTCCATTTTTCATTTCTATTTTTCCATTTTTCCTAACCATTTTATCTATTAGCAGAATATACTTTTGAAGAATATTTAATGTGGAAGATTGAAATTCCAAGTTAGTGGATATAAAATTGAAGTTTATGCACGGTGAAAAGTATGAAATGGAATTGACTTCGAGGTAATCTGGAACAAACGTTTTGAGAGTATTATTTCACCTTAAAAATTTTTTTGAGAAAATCCTGAAATACTGAAGTAATGGGATAGGTGATTTGTTACATCTTTTCTTCCAAAGGATTTACAGAAGTGATTGCTATTACAAAACTTCTGATAGTTTCCATTGTTCTTTTGTTAATTGTATTATATTTGTGATCTGTTTTTTATGTAATTTCTGGGGAAATAAATTCTCAGTGAATACACTCACAAAACCTAACACTACAAGTGACTTTGTCAGTGATAACTGGCTATAGATAAAATATATATACAACCTCCAAAATGTAATGTGTTGTCAAGGTCACCCAAATTTGTAATGTGTATAATAGCACCCCACGCTGTGTAGAGATTTACAGATGGATGTTGTGGCATTGGATAGCCATTCACCAACATAATTCTGGACTACAGGCTTTGATGTGATGAACCCTTGCAGGATTCTTTGCACAAAACAACAGCCACAAAGAATAACTTGTTCCTCTTTGCCATTTGACTTTTCGTCCTCACCACTCTTCACCTTTCTTAGTCCTTTTCTCTACTCAAACATAGCATTTAGAAACTCTCAGTTTGCAATAAACCTTAAAAGGATGTTTAGAAAGTATTACTTTTTAATATGAATAAACTCAATTAAACTCAATATCTCCAAATTATGCAGATCCCACCAGCCAGCTATTTATTAGCTTGGATTCTCCATTGTCCAATCAAAACCAAGAAAAATGCTGCTCTGAGTGATTCTTTTATCCAGGCAAACAAACCAGGATACAAAGCCATTGAAAATTCCTGTCTGCTTTTCCTTAGAGGTAGCAGTAGAGAACAAAAGGCCCTTATGAGAAGTTTAACCTTCCAGCTCTAGCCAGCATTTAAGAGCAATAGCTGTCATAAACTCTGATCCTATGAAGTCAATTATCTCTCTCACTGATCAGAAATCTCTAAACTGAAGCCTTGTTATCTAATTGCTTTGAAATGAACCAGTAGAATTCTATACTATACTCTATATTATATTCTACACTATACTCTAGTCCTTTATCCCTTGATTCTATCATTGATCATACCTTACCAAATCCCAGCCACCACCTGCAACCTTTGCTCCTATTTACGTGATGCTGAATGGAGCTGAAGAAAATCACAGAACTATGTTGACTGGGTTCAACAAATTTATGCTATATAAATCCATTTGTATAATTTGATTGTATAAGTAAGATACCCTACTACAGCAAAGAAATTCTTTTATATTTTCCTAATTAATTCACTAATTGACTAACCATAGGGATTGTTCTAAACCTTTTTGTCTTTCTTCAAGCATCCCACTTTACATCTCCCCCTTACCTTATCAGCTGAGAATCTTACCTCTTACTTTACCAAAAGAACTGAGACTATTCACCTTGCCTCCCTTCTCATCTTACATCACTCAGTCATCTTCCTTTGATATCTCCTCCTTCAAATCTGTCTCAAAGAAGGGGTAGCCCTGCTTGCCATGGCAAATCCCTTTACGCACATCTTGATTATCATTGCATCCTATCTTCTGCAGCACATTTCTCCATTATCATCCCCATGTTCTTACTAATCTTCAGTCTCTATCTACTGACTGATTTCCTGGTGTCAAAAAACAAACAAACCAATGGGTCCTGATCTAACCATACCTCCCTACCTATTTCGTATATTTAATGGCTAAATCCTTTGAGAAAGCAATCTACACCACTATTTCATCTTCTTTCATCTCTTCTAAATCCCCTGCAATCTAGCTTCTGACCTTATCATGCAACTGAAACTTTTCTTTCCAAAATTACCATTGCTCTCTTAATTTCCAAATATCAGGGATTTTTCTCAGTCTCTATCCCACTTGATCTCTCTCTATCCTTTGACATGGCTGATCACTCTCTTTTCCTGGATACTCTTCTTCTCAGGTTTTCCTCACAGTATTCTTTCCTGGATTTCTTCAACTATCTGACTGTTCCTCAGTTGCCTTTGCTAGTTTTTCTTTGTGGTCATGGCTGTTAACCATAGGAGTTGCTCATGGGTCTGTCCTGGGTCTATTTCTCTTCTCCCTCTGTACCATTTTGCCTGGTAAACTCATTAGCTTCTATGGATTCAAATTTCATCACTATGCAGATGATTCTCAGATCTATTTATTTAGCCCTAACCTCTTCCTTGACCTATCTTACAACACCAACTTGCTGTTGGATATTTGGAACTGTATATCCTGTACACATTTCAAAATCAGCATATCCAAAATAGTCCTAATTATCTTTCCCATAAAATTTTTCCTTCTTCCCACCTTCTATATTATTGTAGAGGGTTCCCCTGTCCTCCCAGTTACCTCCTTGATATCATCAACTACTCCCTCACATTCACCTCACGCAGCCCATCTTTCACCAAGTTGTATAGTTTCTACCTTCACAACCTCCTTTTCTCTATTCACAAGACAATCAGTATGGTGTAAGCCTTCAGTATCTGCTACCTGGACTATTGCAATTGCCTGCTGGTGGTCTCCCTGCTTCACATCTCTTCCCACTCTATAACCTATCCTTTGTTTAGCTTCCAAAGTGCTTCTCTTAAAGTTCAGGTTCTACCATGCTAATGTCTTATTAATTAATTCCAGTGGCTCCCTAATACCTCTAGCATCACCTAGAAAATCTTCTGTTTGACCTTTAAAACCTTTCACAGCCTAGCCCTTTCCTACCTTACCCTTCTACTTACACTGTATCCCCCTCATGTACACTGTTATCCAGTGTCACTGATCTTATTGCTTTTCCTAGAAAACAATATTTCTTTTCCATACTCCATGCCTCTTCCCTGACTCTCTCCTATTCCTGAAATGTTCTTCTTCCTCACCTCTTCTTCTTGAATTTCCTGACTTCCTTCATGACATCTCAAATCTTGCCTTACTTAGACCTTCCTCCCTACCCCATCAAGCTCCACTGCTGTGCCTTCCTTTGAAGATTACCTCTCCTTGCACTGTTTATCTTGTATGCATGTAGTTATTTACATTTGCTTCCCCCAGTAGAATTTGACCTCTTTAAAGTCAGGAGTCCTGTTTTTGGCTTTCTTTATATCTCCGTGCCTAGTGCAGTGCCTAACACATAGTAGGTGTATAATAACTGCTTGTTGACTGACTGGCCATGTTTAGTTATTTGAAGGAATTAATGTTTCAGGAATTGTTACCACACAGCAACACTGGTAAAATATGTTTATTGAAAGTGCTTTGTAACTTCTTGAAAGCAATCTAATCTTCACATTTTTTCAACTCTAGGCCCAGCTTATTATGCATAGTCATACATATACATATATAAAACATATTAACATAATAAACATGTATGCAAACATATAATTTATTTATATGTGTGATATATAATATATGTATTCATGTGTATCCATATATAATATATTGTTGTATGAGATGTCCATTCAACATTCAGATACATTTTCAAATATGGGAAATAGATATTCTTCATCCATTTGCCCTTTCCTTCATGGATGGACAGACCAAACTCTTTTGAATGGTTACAGATCTCTAGCAACTAAAACTATACATTAATGCTGTGAAATATCAATCAATTAATTTGCACAACAGAAAATCAAAATAGTTCCATAGAGTACTTTATGTCGTCAAGTATGTATAAGACAAGGGATCCTCATATAATGGATAGCATACTCAACTTGGAGTCAGGCAGAATAGAGATCAAAACCTAATTCAGACATTAGCTAAGTGTGTGACCATAGGCAAGTTATTTAAACATTCTGAGCCTCAGTTTCTTCTTCTGTAAAATTAGAAAATCTAATATCCCTTTCTGTTTCAAAATCTAACATCCTAAGACAAATGAAGTTCAGAAAAAAGATGAGATTTTGATAGAGAATTTTGAAAAGCAAAACATGTTAGAGATAAATAAGTAAACTTCAGTGAGCAAAAAGTTATATATGCAATACTGTGTACTAGGTCTTTAAAAGATACCTCTTAAATGTAAGATAGCAGAAAACATTTCTTAACATTTCTAAACTTATTTCCTACATATGTAA